CCGCTGCTGGCCGGGGGGGGGCGCTGCGCTGCGCTGCTGTACAGGGGGCACCCACTGACACGCCGATGACAGCGGTGGGTCAGACGGTCACGTGTCTAAATGCAGCTGTGACAGTGTCGTAATATAGTTGCTTGTTTAAACACAGAGATCAAGTACTTTGTAATGTCTTGGCGGAAACCTTTATTTCGTGACGTTGTAATACGTTTTCTTTTATATACATTCATTTTCACGTATTTCTTTATTTTAATATCTTGTATCTTACATATAAATGAAAAACCGGGATTTTTTATAAATGAAAAACCGGGATTTTTTTATAGGTTTAAAAAAAACTTGGAGGTTTTTAAGAGAGAAAAAAAACTTGGAGGTTTTTTAAAATAGATTTAAAAAATGTGGAGGTTTTTTAAATAGATTAAAAATGGATTTTTTTTATAGAGTTAAAACTTGGAGAGATTTTTTATAGATTAAATATGGAGATTTTTTTTTATAGATTAAAAGAAACCTTGGAGGTAATTTTTTATAGATAAAAAAAACTTGGAGTTTTTTTTAAATAGATTTTATAAATGTGGAGGTTTTTTAAAATAGATTAAAATGGATTTTTTTTTATAGAGTTAAAAAAAACTTGGGAGAGATTTTTTTATACATTAAAATGGAGGGTTTTTTTCTTTTTTAGATTAAAAGAAACCTTGGAGGTATGTTTTTATAGATAAAAAAAAAGGTTTTTTAAATAGATTTTAAAAATGTGGAGGGTTTTTTAAATAGATTAAAAATTGATTTTTTTTTATAGAGTTAAAAAAACTTGGAGAGATTTTTTTATAGATTAAAAATGGAGATTTTTTTTATAGATTAAAAAAACTTGGAGAGATTTTTCTTTATAATCTTTATAGTTATTATATTAGTTAAAAATTAATAATTTTTAATTTATAGATTAAAAGAAAGCTTGGATTAAATACATTTTCAAAGCTCAGTGTTCGGCTGGTGGGGGCGGTGCGCCGGGCACCCCCATCACAACGGCGCGCACCAGTCAGGTTTGTTACAAAGCCGTTCGTGCGTCCGGCCTGCGCAGCAACACAAACCAGCCGTGTTTTCTTTCTTTTGAACGTCTTAATTTTTCGAGCAGGGCCGTCTGGAGCCACCTAGACGAGCGCGATGGCTTTGCAAGTTTTTTTAATCTATAACTGAGAAACTCGACCAAGAATTCGGCAGACGCAGAGACACGACGGGACGGTCGGACGAGCGACCTGCAGCATCGTCGCGCTTCCCGTGTTTTCCGGAGGGCGCAAACTTCCTGCTTTTGTTCTTTAAAAACGATTCCCCCCACGCTTTCAGTGTTGATGTCTCTTAGGAGGTGGCAAATAAAGCAATCTTGAATTTTTAAAAGAATCTTTCCCCTTTCAGCAGGCTCTTTATCTTCGTGGCAATCGACACTATCTATCAGTCGGCGTGGAAAGGGGGAGTATTCACGTTCAAGGAGAAAACGAGCTTTTGCAACTATACGGTTGAGTTGGAAGTAAGCAGGAGCGACTGAAATGCCGCCGCTGCTGATGCTTGTGCCCCCTTTGCATGCTGCCTGAATGAATGCACGGCCTGTGCCTGCTTTGTAACCATTAACCAAACTTAATTTCAAATAGGAAAAATTGGAATTAAAAAACCCTCCCATCTCTACAAAGAAAATTAAACAAAAAAGCGTCCTGGGAAATTGGGTGTGTTGACGTCAAAGCGCCCGTCCTGCTCTTGCTTGCAGAACAATGAAAGCCAAAGAAAAGCTGCAGAATTAGCTGAGCACTGTGTATTGGCATTATCCCCTTCTAATCTAGACAAAATACTGCCAGGAGGTAACATATATCTGTGGGTTGATTTTTCTGTAGCAATAAGTGCTTTCTGCTACCAGTGACTTCAGTGGAGTTGCCAGGTACTCAGACCTCTGGGAATTAGGCCGGGAGTTTATTTCCAATATACAGGGTAACAGGCCGGGTGGAGGGCCCTGACTTGCTATTGCATGGATAAGGAGAAGGGAAAAAGGGCATTTATATGCGGGATGTTGTTCGCCATTTAAAGCGGACTAAAGTCAGCACTTAATACAGACGGCTGACTTTAGAGCGCTTTTAAAGTGGCAGAAATCGCCTTATTTAAAGCTGGGCATACGTGTTTTAAATGTAAGGCGAAGTGCAGTCGTGTGTCAGAACGCTTCCTTCGCCGTAATTGCATGCGCATGTAACGGGGGCTTTCTAAGTGCTAATTATTAATTGCTACCACTGGGTGTAGCTAGCGAGCTCTACAGCCTGGTATCCGCATGGTTCAAATCATTCTCCTTCGTGCGGTTGAAAAAAAATAAAAGCCAAAAATAAAAATAATCATCTTTGTGTAGGTTGTATGTATTTATTTATTCACGACATCCCATTGGGTGGGGAAAAGGGTGCAAAAGGGGGAAATGGGGAGTCAATCTCCTCACCCCCTCGCGTGCACTACTTTCCAAACTGCCCCCCTCTCCTGCCCTGCCGCCTAATCTCCGTTGAGTCCCTGCACGGTGAGAGACAGCACCCAGTGCTGCACACACAAAAAACAGTGCCGCTGCTACCCATGGAGGCAGACCTGACTGGGGCTGTCACCTTGCCTATGCTCCATGCCCCCCCAGTCCCGGAGACCCCCAGCAGTCCTCCCAGGGGGCCATGCAAGCTGTGGGGAGTGGGCAATACACCTGCCCTCCCCCTCCCCCCCATTGCTGCAGGGAGACCTGACACCCCCAGGTGGGGAGAGCTCCCCCAGACCCCAGGCAGCATGGGTGACAAGTAGGAGGGGCACTGCCCCCACCCCCAGATCTGCTGTGCAAGCCCAGCGCTGTGCTCTGTGCTGTTGCCATCACCCCGGGGGCAGAGCTGGGGCTCGCTGGGGCTGGTGCCCAGGCTTGGAGCTCAGCTCATCCACACTGCCTATTTCCTCCATTCCCAACACCCCACCCCGGCTCCCGCACATGCATTGCACTGCTGGAGGCAGCCCCTGGCAGTACGTGGAAGCAGCCAGCGACCTCCAAGGCATCCCCAGGGGCAGAGCTGGGGCTTGGGCTTCTGCCTCCGCTCCACTCCCTGCCGGCCCTCGAGACCCCCAGCAGCAATCCCCAGGGTCTCGTAAAATGAACAGATAAAATGAGGTGGCAGTGAATCATCGCATCTCTCTGGCCAGACCCCTTGGATTTGGACTGACCAAATAAAATGGACTTTCACCCGCAGAGTTTCAGCGAACGGACTGTGTCGCTTTTCTGAGACCGCAGCTGATTAGGTGTCAGGGGTGGTTAGATACAGTGGATCTATTCTACAGAATCGCTCCTTAATTCTTTAACCGGGGCATGCATTTTAATTTGTGCTGCGGATCCAAATATTTTGTCATTAAAGTATTTGGGCCTGTTGCAGGATGTTTGCGAGATAATCATAGACTCATAGAGAAGAAGGGCTGGAAGGGGCCTCTGAAAGTCATCGGGGCCAACCCCCTGCCCAAAGCAGGATCCTCCCTGCCACCCAGGAGGCCCGACTAGAAGACCTAGTGCTCCTTTTTGCCCTCAGTGTCTACGCCACCATCAGCAGAGGAAAAGGAAGTGGAGATGCAGCATGGGTGTCTTCGGGGAGGAAGGCTAATGCCAGCTTCAGCAGTTTTCCCGATCCACTTTGAAGAAACATCTTTGCAGGGTTTGGGTATCCAACAAGAGTAGCTGCCAGGACTCTGCTCCTCGTGAGAATCATCTACCTGGAATTTCTGACGTGTTTGCCTTTCTACTTTCCTTTTCTAAACAGGAGAGAGAAACTTAGAGGAGAATTTGCAGGTGAGCAACCTGGGCATAGCGTGTGAAAAGGCAGGGCAGGTGCAGGAGATGGGTGGAGAGAGACGGTTTGCTCTGTGGGCATGTGGCAATGTAAAGGGAATCCACTACAAGGAGCCGTTATAAGTCCCTGCCCCGCATCCTCCAGCAGCTGATAATCCTGGACTTCTCCAATGGCTTCACCAGCCTGCACGGCTGACCACGTGCCTGTCGCTCGAACAGGGATCATTTGGTAAGGTAACTTAACTGGTAGCATTAAGAGGGGAGTGGAAAGGAAGGCAACAGGGAAGGGAAACACCATTCGAGAACCGCATCTTGTTAATCTGCACAAAATGAACATGCAGAGCAATTTACTG